TGCCACCTCCAAAAAAGCTTTAAATATTTTTGTACGTCTTTATTTAAAGATTTTGTTAAGACAGATCATTCCCTTAATTCACTCTCCCTCTGATTTCCCCTTCTGCCTTCTCTCTCCCCATTACTATTTCCCTATCAAATGAAATATATATTTTTGTCCAACTGTGCGTGTTTTTCTCTTTTGTGTAGTTCAGATGAAAGAGAGATGAAGTGTCAGGTGCTCCCTCTACACCTTCCTTGTTGTTCGCATAGTCTTATATTTATGCTCCCCAATTATGTGAGATAATTTTCTAGAAGTTTTCTTTCTCTTCTTCTCCCTGCCCCCCAAAGGTTTTCTTCCCCTCCTTTTCTGTTCTTTTTTTGTTTTTTTTTAAAGATTATCAGTGCATAATAGAACTACTCCCATGCCTTCTGTCTCATTAGACTCGAAGACTCATTAGATTGATGATGATAGGACTCAGAGAAGACATGTGACATCTTCTCATATTTGAATGTCAGCAGTTTATCTTTGTTTGGAATCCTTTATCATTGTTCATTCATGTTTACTTTTTTATGTTTCTCTTAAATTCTGTATTTGAACTTCAAAATTGACTAAGCAGCCTCTGATATGTTCATCAGGAATGCTTGGAAGTCCTCTATTTCATTAAAAATCCACTTTCCTCCTATAGGATTATACTTAATTTTGCTCAGTAAATTATTCTTGGTTGTAAGCCTATATAATACTCTGTCTTCTGGAATACCATATTCTAAGCTACTTTATAGTTTGGGATAGTTAAGAGGTAGTGGTGATGTGTAACTAGCTCAAGAGAGAGAACAGCGCTAGATGTACAGAGCTGAGAATTATCTATATAGAGATATTATTGAACCCATAGGACCTGATGAGATTACCAAGTGAAATAATACAGACAAAAAATGAGAGTAGGGCCCAAGATATGACATGAATGAAGGCCTTGCAAGGGAGACTGAATGATAAAAATGAAGTTAGAGGACTTTAGACCAGGACACTATCTCTTCAACATTAAGTCTTTTATTCAAAGGAAAACTGATTATATCTTTATATCTTTTACTCAGGTGAGATCACAACACAAATTATTTTTTGCTAATATTTCTAAAAGAAGTTTAGGAGTTTCTGTATATTTGTGTGACCTTAAGCTTCTTGGGTCTCAGTTTCCTTATCTGTAAAATGGGGGGTTTGGAATAGTTGACTTCAGAGGTCCCTGCCTGCTCCAAATGTTTGACCCTATATTCATGTAAACTAATCTGAATTTGAATGAGAATCTCCTCTTCCACATCTAGAACTAGTTAGTCATTCAGCCTTTGTCTGAAGACTTATAGTGAGGGGGAGCCCTCTAACTCTGGCCATAGCTCATTCTACTTTGGGACAGCTGTAATTATTAGGCAGTTTTTCCTTTCATTGAGCCTAAATCTGTGCCTTTGAAACTTCTTTCTGTTGCCCTTAATTCTCCCTCAGGGGCCAAAAAGAACAAGTCTAATCCCTCTTCCATCATTCAGATACTTGAAAACAATTATCATGACTCCCCAAAGTCTTCTCTAGGCTAGACATCCCTAGTTCTTTTAACCAATCCTCATAGGCATGATCAAAGTGCCCTTTATCATCCTAGTTTCCTTACTTCTCTGTGCTGACTGAATGGATCTGATAAATGACAGGCATTTGAGCTGTCACTCTAAACTTTGTCATCTGCAAATTTGATAAGCATGTTATGGATACCTTTATACAAATCATTGATAAAATGTTAAATAACACATACTCAAGGGCCGAACCCTGGGGCACTTTTCTAGAAACTTTCCAAGTTGTCTGTAAACCGTTAATGACTTCCTGGCTAGTCAACCACTCTTGAATGTCTTGAATTGTACTGTTGTCTAACTCTAACCTAACTCTATCTCTTTCACAAGGATAGATTGAGAAACTTTGTTAAAAGCTTCGCTAAAATCTTGGCAAATTGTATCTTTAGTATACCCTTCATCTAACTTCCTAGTATCCCTTTCAAAAAAAGGAAATGAGATTAGTCTGGCATTATTTGTTCTTGATCAAGCTATGACACTTTGTGATTACTACTTCCTTTTCTAGGTGCTTATTAACCATTTCTTTAATAATAAATTTTAGAATTAAGAGTGTAAATCAAGCTCAGTGTTCTGTAGTTTATAGACTCTAGTCTTTCCTTTTTTGAAAGTTGAGAAATCAAATGTTTTTGTCTCTCTTCAACCCTGTAGTACTCTTCTCATTCTCCATGGTCTTTCAGAAATTTCTTTCAGTATCCTGTGATAGAGTTTGTTTGGGCTTATTGACTTGAACTTATCAAATAAAGCAGTTATCTCTTATCTCTATTTATCTTTGTTACACAGTCTATATTTGTATAAATAAACAATGTGTAAAATAAAGAATAATGGTTGCATACTTCCATACAGATATTGTTGTGATGTCTAGTACGATTTTTGAAAATACCAGATTAGGATTTTGACCAGATAGGGTTTTAGGGGGAGAGTCAAAGCATAATTGCCACATGAACTATAAATATATCACATGTAGACAGAATATTAATTATATTTCCATAGTTGTATTCCTCCCTAAGGCCCCATTTCTTAAAACTGTTGTCTCACTACATTCATTATATGTAAAATCTTATTATTTCAGAAGGAAAAAACATTGCTGTTTCCCAGAAGAAAGATTTTCAAATTATTTTTCCATCTTAGATAAAATGTTCTGTTACTTATTTTAGTTTACTTTTAATAGTACGCTTATTATATTTTAAAAACAATTTTCTCCTAAATAAGTTATCTGTGTTTTGCTACTTTATTAGAGGAATATAGAGGAATTCAGAATGAAAAAATGGCATAAACAAAATAGTTATTTAGAAAATCTAAATCTTATTTCATTTATTTATTTACATTGTATGTGTTTATTTTATACAGATAAACATGTGTACATTATATGTCATATATCCATATATTAAAATATTTTGTATTCCCAGTAATGTTTTATCAGTAATAGGTTTTTAGAAAAATTATCTCTGTTTCAAAAATTCTTTCTCAAAGCGTGTTACAGTCTATGAAGAGTGTCATGGCTTCTTTAAAAACAGGGTGATATCAAAGGCTAGTCTTTTAAAAAATTGCAAAGAGTTTGCAGGTTAATGTTTAATGAATATGATTTCAAGATCAGGAATTATACAAACTAAAGGCCGAAAGGTGCCAAAACTTCCTTTTGTTAGGGAAAATGCCAGTTTCAGGGAGGTTATACCAGTAAATGTAGGATGTTGGTGGTTGTGATTTTCCTTTTTCTTCTTTTGCCTAAGGAAGGTAAAAAGGTGCAGAATCCCTGAAAGCTCAGAAAATCTACCTACAGGGGTTAAGGAAGGTGACCTAAGATATCTCCTCAGGATTAGCAAAAACTGTATAATATAAACCCTCCTCAGTAAAGGAAGCCACAGGTCATGGTCTTTAACTCTTAAGTGAAAATTGAGCTGAACCAGGGATTTCAAGTAGAGGAGAGTAGAAGGAATTGGAGGAAGACCTTTGTTCGGTTAGGGAAAAACAGGGATGGGGAACCTTCAGCTTTCTAGGTCCTTGGGTGAAGCCTTTTAACTGAGTCCAAGTTTTATAGAACAAATCCTTTTATTAAGGGGATTTGTTCTGTGAAGTTTAGATTCAGTCAGAGGGTTGCACTTGAGGACCTAGAGGGCTACATGTGGCGTTCAGGCTGCAGGTTCCCCACCCCTAGATAGATTGCTTGTGGCTAAGATGGCGCTAACAAATAAAGCCCTCTGTAAGAACTTTATGATGCCAACTTGCCCTCAAAGCAATATGAGTCTTGCACATTCCTTGGAAGTTTTACTTGAGATGTAAATATTCCAAGTGAATTAGTTTTACAAAATCTGGAAGAAAAAGAGGATTAGATTAAGCAGTAACTGAGAACTGTCATGTAGTAGTGAGATTAGTACTTGATGGCACCTAAGTATTTGTCTTTCTTTAAATTTTTCTCTTATTGGGTATTTAAAAATACTTTTGGTGACTAGTAAATATTTGTACTTACTTGTTTTAATGAACATTTTTTTAAATAAAAAGTTTGAGTAGTAGGAACATGTGCAATCATTTTTGACCAAGGCTATAGGAATCCTAGCTATTTGGATCATGTTGCTATAACCAAGGCATTATAATGTTGGTTACAACTTAGCCAGGTTTCAAGGTTAGTATCTGAGAATGAATAATCTTTGGAGAGCTAGCTTTAAAAACTAGTGAAGTGTTGGCAAATATCATTTGATTAGTTTGCACTGAGCTGTCTGATGTCTAATTCAAGAAATCTATGAAATCTATTTTTCTTTGAAGAATATCATTGAAAATTAATAATTCAGTCAAGTAATTGTCTAATGAAGGATTTGAATGAACTCAGGTCTTCCTCGCTCCAAGTCTAGTGCTCATACCCACTGTACCATCTAGCTGCCTGTCAGAAATTGCTTTCTCTCTTTCCTCCAACTGCTAAGAAATAGATCTTTTCTCTGTCTCAGCTATAGTTGCCATGTACCCTTTTTGTTGGTCAGTATTTTTAATTGAATGAAACAAGAATGAATAATAGGCGTAGCATATATAAATATTGTATTCATTGAAAATGGCACTTTTGTAAGTTAAATATAACTGATTTGTTTCTGTCTTTTCATAAACCTGGCATTAAGATGATTTGAGTTATGTAAATAAGATAGCTATTTAAAAAACTTGTTTATAAACAAATTCTTTGAGAAAAATTGGATCAGACATTACTGAAACTTGTGTGAATTTGAGAAAAATAAGGATTATTTTGGGAAGAACTTTTAATTTTATAATCTCACATCAACAGATAATGATGAATTATAATGCCAATTGGAGAAGATATTAGTTTATTTACTTCTCCCTCTGCCCAAAGAATAATTTACTTTGGTTTTTATGTATTAAAGTTTTCTTACTAAAATATTCTTAATTTGGGGAAAGCTTTAGAATAACTTTTGTTTTTAGTTCAACAGAAATTGATGACATGCTTAGAAAATCGACAAATCTGCTGCTGACAAGAACTTTGAGTAGCTGTTTACAGAACCTTATTAAAAAGCCTCACATAGGTCTGACAGAGGTAGGTTTAAGAAATACGTGCAGCTTAAGGTTTCTTAGTTGTAATAGTTGTCATAAAAATCTACTAATGTTGATCATGGCATTATAAAATTAGCTTTGTTTCAGTTTTATATCAGTTAATATCAAGGTATTATGTTTTGAACTAAAAACAAACCAACGCCCAGTCAAAGAATATATGAAGGGAAATAATTTACATAAAGGAAAGTAGATGACAGAAGAGATCAGAATGTATACATTTGTAGTTGCCACAGATTCAGTGGCAAAATTTGGGAATTGCATTTTGCTGCTTTGTAATTGAAAAAGAAACACTTGAAAAAATATCTTTAAGTTATTTTAAATTAATTGGCAGGGCTTAGATTATTTTTAACTTTTTTATTCTTTACTGTTGTTTCCTTCATAGGCATTATTTGCAACAGACTTTCAAAATCAGTAGTTAATCAGTTGTATCCTGTAATACTATAATTATGTAGTGATGGTGCAGTTGTCGGAAGCAGTAATCCTGTTTTTAAAATCAGATGGCTTTGGGTCATGTACCCTGCATTTTACCGGATATATTTTGTGTTTTTCAGCTAGTGCAAATCATCATAAACACAACACACCTGGAACAAGCCTGTAAATACCTTGAAGACTTTATAACTAACATAACAAATATTTCTCAAGAAACAGTTCATACTACAAGACTTTATGGACTTTCTACTTTTAAGGTATGTAAAGTGTAACTTAGTTACCAGACCAAAAAACTTCATTATAATCACTGTAAGCAAACTATTAAAAATAAAAGGCAATTTTTATTATATGCTTAATGCCAGCAAATTCCTAAGAATTGAGAATTATAGATAATCATTATCAACAGTGAGCAGATAAATATAATTTCCTTTTTGGCATTTTAAACATCTTATTAAAATTGAGAAAAATGTCTGTTTTCTGCAGATGTCACATTTTGGTCACATTTTGGTCACATTTTAGAGGATCATAATAAATTCTAATATATCTATCATTATCATTAGATTTTTATTAAATTTTTACAGTTATATTAATTTTATCCAGAGTAAGTATTGCTATACACATAGTAATGAGTAGAATTAAACTCTAAAATTAAGATTACATAAGTGAACAGCGAAAACTATTCTGTATCTTTTATTGGCAAAGAGTTGAAAAAATAATAAATTAATTACCTTTTTATATGACATTAAAAACTTTTACTTTTGCTTGAGTGGAATAGTTTGCTATTTGTATATTTACGTATGTATTTACTACAAGGTGATTAAAGTCGTTTTGATAGAACAAGTTTTGTGAAATTGTGCTTCAGAATTTAGAATTATGGTAAATAAAAGCGTTTTGTGAGTTACAAATGTTGGTTTATGAAGTGTTTTTTTCCCAAAAACACAGGGCAATAACATTACCTAGTTATAGAAATCACTTTTATATTGAGATATGTTGACTTTAAATGGAACTAATAATGTTTCATATTTTCCCCTATAAAAATTTGTGCCTCATAGAAATTTTACATAAATGGTGCTACACACACATATGTGTATGTGTGTGTTTATATACACACACATAGATATATACACATATGTAAATTTTTTAAAGTTCCTACTTAAGTTGCTTCTAAATGTTTTGTGTTTTTAAAGATGTATATACCTTTATATTTTTGGAGTATAAATTAGCTAAATTACCTCATAAAATTTGGTGTCATTTCAAGAATACTTAGGTTCCCTCCCCCCTCAAAAAAATTTACTACAACTAGAGAAAAAAACCCAGTTAAACTCTGTAAACAGATAAAGGGTCAGCTTCTCAAAGTATGTGTGGGACCCAGAGTAATCAAGTCTAGGATTTAATAGAAATTGGCTGATAATTTTAACATATTCCCTCCATTACCACATCTCACAACTTTAAATATCTCTTAACGCCATGATCCTAGTACCCTTTGATTACAATGCAAGGTAGTATCTATATCAACAGTTCCAAATTTGATGACTAAAATTTAGCCAGACTCTGAGAGGTACCTCTTTTGAATTTCCCCACATCATTCATTCCAAACCTTAGTTTTTCTCCCAAAGCCTCCCATACCTTCCCCTCCCCCTACCCTGTCAGCTGAGGACATAGTTGCATCATACATTACTGAGAAAAGAGGACATTTGCCATGAGCTTTGTCTTGTCTTCTTTTTTTCATCTCAGAACTCGTTGACATACTTCATCTCTCATTCTCTTCTCTTTTACTACAGCCTCACTTAAAGCCCTTTTCTTTATCCTAACCAATGCTTTTAATGTATACCTTTGACCCCAACCCCTTCCATTTCTTCCAGCAGAATGTCCCCATGATCATTCCCCTTCCCCCCTTATTTGCTATCTCTCTTTATCTACTGATTCCTTCTGTCTTCCTTCAAATAAGTCAAAGTCTCCTCCATCCCTAAAAAAACCTAACTTGACACTACCTTCTCTTCAAGCTATTATCCTATATATATATATGTATATCTTATCATATCTATCTATATATATATATATATCTTCTCTTTCCAGTCAAACTCCTAGAAAAAGTTGTCTCTTCTTGTTGCTTCTATTTCCTTTCCTATCACTCATTCAGACCTTTGAATTCTGCTTCCAGTCTCATCACTCAACTGAAATTGCTATCTCCACAGCTTCCAGTGATCTCCTAATTAAAAAAGAAATTCATTATGAACTTAAAACATCAAAAAGAACCTTTCCATACACATCTAAGAGCATAAAAAGGTATTCTTTAAGAAACAATAAATCTGTTTCATATTGTTTTTTTTCCTATTTTTTATTTTTTTTTCTCAATTTTCTTTATTTTGATAGAATTCTAAAGATGAATCATTTGAATGAGTGAAAAAATTTGAATCATTATTTGCAGAAATGCACTAGAAGTATCTCATATATTTCTCATGTTAAAAGGACTGAGGAAATTTCCATCCATGACCTTTTATTTCATTGGTGTAGGATCTCCCTACACCCATGCAGATGGCAAAGCCTCTGGAATTGATGCTCTGAGGGAGTTGCACAAAGCTCTGAGAGTTGATTTGACTTGACTTGCCCAGGGTCACACACCTAGTAAGGGGCTGAGATAGTATCTGAAGCAAGATCTTCCAGACAGCACAGCAGTGACCTCCTTTCAAGGATATTTAAATATTAGAAGTTAAGCCTTTCTTTGACTTGTTTAATTTTGATGTGTCAAAACTAGGATTTGGAATTAAGTGGCATCTTAAGACTAGACCTGAAATAGTGATTAAAGTTCTAGACTTAGGAGTCAGGAAGACAAGAGTTCAAAACCTGCCTTGGACACTCCCTACAAGACCCTGGACAAATCATTTTACATCTCTTAGCCTTATTTTCCTCCTCCATAAAATGTAGGTTGGACTAGATCAGAAATGTTGAACACACAGCTGGTGGGTCACATGTGGCCCACAACATTCCCCAGGGTAGAGGGAAGCAGATTAGAATGTCATCAAGAAATATTTAACAAAATAAATAAAATTACAACAAAACATAGATAATGTTAATATGTGGTTTTCTGAGTCAATATGTTATATTTCTATTTGAGTTTGATGCCACTGGATTAGCTGACCTCTGAGGTCCCTCCTGGCTGTAAATCTATGATATTATTCTTTTTTTTAATTAATTAGTTTATTTCTTTTTAGTTTTCAACATTTACTTCCACAAGGTTTTGAGTTCCAACTTTTCACCCCATCTCGCCCCTCCCCCCACCCCAAGATGGCATGCATTCTGAATACCCTTCTTCCCCTAGTCTGCCTTCCCTTCTATCTCTCCCCCCCTTCTCTTATCCCCTTTCCCTTCAATTTTCCTGTAGGGCAGGATAGATTTCTGTACCCCATTTCCTGTATTTCTTATTTCCCAGTTGCATGTGAAAGCATTTTTTTTAAACATGTGTTTTTAAAACTTTGGGTTCCAAATTTTCTCCCTTCCTCCCTCCCTCCCCACCCACCCTTATTGAAAAGGCAAGCAACTCAATATAGGTTATACATGTGCAGTTATACAAAACACTTCCATAGTAGACATGCTATGAAAAATTAACTCTATTTCCCTTAATCCTATCCTGCCCTCCCCCATTTATTCTATTCTTTCTTTTGACCCTGTCCCTACTCAGAATTATTTGCTTCTGATTACCCCCTTTCCCAATATGCCCTCCTCTCTATCATCCACCTACTCTCTTGTCCCCTTCCCTCCCTATTTTCCTGTAGGGTAAGACAGATTTCCATACCCAACTGAGTGTGTATGTTATTGCCTCCTTAAGTCAAATCCTATGAGAATAAGATTCACTCGTTCCCTCTCACCTTCTCCCATTTCCCCTACACTGTAAGAGATTTTTCTTTTCATTTTTTTGTGAGATAATTTACCCTGTTCTACCTCTCCCTTTCTCCTTCTCCTAGTAGAATCCTCTCTCACCCCTTAATTTTATTCTCTGGATATGACCACTTCATCTTCACCTCACCCTGTGCCCTCTATCTATCTATCTATCTATCTATCTATCCATCCATCTATCTATACATACATACATACATACATACATACATACAATTTTTCCCTTCCAACTACCCTAATGCTGACAAAGGTCTCATGAGTTACAAATATCATCTTTCCATGCAGGAGTGTAAACAGTTCAACCTTAATAAGTCTCTTATGATTTTCTCTTTCCTGTTTACCTCTTCATGTTCCACTTGAGTCTTGTATTTGAAAGTCAAATTTTCTATTCAGCTCTGGTCTTTTCATCAAGAATGCTTGAAAGTCCTGTATTTCACTGAATGACCATTTTTTTCCCCTGAAGGATTATACTCAGTTTTGCTGGGTAGGTGATTCTTGGTTGTAATCCTATCTCATTTGTCCTCTGGAATATTATATTCCATGCCCTGTGGTCCCTTAATGTAGAAGCTGCTAAATCTTGTGTTATCCTGATTGTGTTTCCACAATATTTGAATTGTTTCTTTCTGGCTGCTTGTAATATTTTCTCCTTGACCTAGGAACTCTAGAATTTGGCTACAGTATACCTATGAGTTTTTCTTTGGGATCTCTTTCAGGAGGAGATCAGTGGATTGTTTCAATTTCTGTATTGCCCTCTGGTTTTAAAATATCAGAGCAGTTTTTCTTGATAATTTCTTGAAAGATGATATCTAGGCTCTTTTTTTGATCATGGCTTTCAGATAGTACAATAATTTTTAAATTCTCTCTCCTGGATCCATTTTCCAGGTCAATTGTTTTTCCAATGATATATTTCACATTGTTTTCTAGTTTTTCATTCTTTTGGATTTGTTTTACAGTGTCTTGATTTCTCATAAAGTCACTAGCTTCCAATTGCTCTTTTCTAATTTTTAAGGAAGTATTTTCTTCAGTAAGCTTTTGGACTTCCTTTTCCATTTGGCCAATTTTGCTTTTTACGGTATTCTTCTCCTCATTGGCTTTTTGAACCTCTTTTGCCATTTGGGTTAGGCTATTTTTTAAGGTGTTATTTTCTTCAGTATTTTTTTGGGTCTCCTTTAGCAAGCTGTTGACTTGTTTTTCATGATTCTCTTGCATCACTCTCATTTTTCTTCCCAGTTGTTCCTCTACTTCTCTTACTTGCTTCTCAAAATCCCTTTTGAGCTCTTCCAAGGCCTGGGACTGATTCATATTTTTCTTGGAGGCCTTGTATTTAGGAGCTTTGGCTTTGTTGTCTTCTTCTAGTTGTATG